TACATATTATTTACAATTCTATAATATATTAGAATACCCTTTTTCAAGTGAAAGGAAAGGAGAAGGATGCAAAGCTTTAGTCAGCACCTCAGCCAATTGATTAACAGTGGAGATAGGCAGTAAATGAAGCAAACCATTTTGAATTTTTTCACGGATGATGTGGCAATCCAGTTCAATATGTTTGCTCCGCTCATGGAAGCTAGGATTATGAGCTAAATATATTGCTGAAAGACTATCACAGTACACCGAAGCAGGCTTGGAAGGAGTAACACCAAGATCCTTTAATAAATAATGAATACATTGCAACTCACAAGCAATGTTGGCCAAAGCACTATATTCGGATTCTGTGGATGATCTAGAAACAGTCGTTTGTTTCTTTGATTTCCAAGATACAAGGGAAGAACCAATAATAACACACAAACCAGAGACATATTTTCGGGTATCTATACAACAACCCCAGTCGACATCAGCAAAGCCCGAAACAGAAAGTTCATTCTGGCTAGGGAAGAATAATCCTTTGCAAGGTGAACCTTTTATATAACGAAGAACTCTGGTTGCAGCTTGCATGTGAATATCCATTGGATTTGAGACATATTGATTGAGTTGTTGTACAACAAAAGAGAGATCGGGTCTTGTGGTTGGGAGGTACAATAATCGACCTATAAGTCTCCTATAAGAATAAGGATCAGAACAAGGAGAACCTTGAACCCTTTGGAGCTTTTTCGATGGATCCATAGGAGTGGAACATGGTTTACACCCCAATAAACCACAGTCAGATAATAATTCTAAAGCATATTGTCTCTGATTTATGATGATGCCAGCAGAAGATTGAGAAACTTCAATGCTAAGAAAAAAACGAAGGGAGCCTAGATCCTTTATACGAAATTGAGCATCCAAATGTTTCTTAACATTGGGTATTTCAGTAGAATCATTCCATGCCATGATTATATCGTCCACATAGACAAGCAATGTTGTAAAAGATTCACCATGCCTCTTAGTGAATAAAGTGTGATCAGCTGATGAAGGGGAATAACCAAGAGCTTTGAGAGCCGTGGACAGCTTTGAGAACCATTGCCTACTCGCCTGCTTTAGGCCATAAAGTGATTTCTCCAATTTACAGACTTTGCCAGGTGTGCAACTAGAAATTCCAGGAGGAAGAATCATATAGACTTCCTCATTTAGATCACCATGCAAAAATGCATTGTTAACATCAAGTTGCTCTATGTGCCATCCCTTAGCAGCTGCTACTGCCATCAGAATTCGAACAGTAGAGAGTTTTGCAACTGGTGAATAAGTGTCAAAAAAATCAACACCCTCAAGTTGGGTGTAACCTTTAGCCACAAGTCTGGCTTTGTAACGTTCAATACTTCCATAAGCTTTGTATTTGATTTTGAACACCCATTTGCATCCAATGGGCTGTTTACCTTTAGGGAGGTCAGTGAGAGTCCATGTCTTGTTTTGTTCAAGAGCTATGATTTCTGCATTCATAGCTTGCTACCAACATTCATGCTTGACAACTTCATTATAGGTCTTAGGTTCAATGTTAGTGCTGATATTTAAACAGTATTTTGTATATCTAGGAGAGCATCGATCAAAACAGACATATGAGGATATGGGGTAAAGAGTTGTATGCTTAGGAGTAATACCTGAAGTTGTTGATGCTATAGCTGTAGAAGAAGGAAGATTGCAATAGAAATCATTGAGATAAGAAAGAGGACGACGTAGACGAGTTGGTCTGTTATTAGCATTGGATTGAGAATTTTGTGGAGCAGAGGAATTATTTTGGTCAACTGGATGAATCAAAGGTATACTTGGAGTATTATTGTTAGTCCATGATACAAAGAAAGGATCAGATGAATCATTCTGTAATTCAGAAACACGAGTGATATTGGATTGCTCATTAGGCTTTGAAAAAGGAAATACAAATTCATGAAAAACAACATTTCTTGAAACACAAATTTTATGAGAAGACAAATCAAGGAAAATATAACCTTTGGTTCCTTCTTTGAATCCTAAAAAAACAGACTTGTAAGCACGATGTGAGAATTTTGTTCTATGGTTTAGCAATGTATTTGCAAAACATAAACAACCAAAGCTTTTTAGTTGTGTGAGAATTCGAGGTGATCCATATATTAATTCATATGGAGTTCTGTTATTTAGAAGAGGGGTAGTGATACAATTGATTAAATGAACCACATGTGAGATACAGAAAGACCATAGATTTAGAGGTAAGTGTGCTTGGAAAAGAAGGGATCCGACAACGTTTAGCAAATGTTGATGCTTACGTTCAATAACTCCATTTTGCTCAGGGGTTTCAACACATAATGTTTGATGTAATATCCTTTTGCTTTGATAGTATTTGGGCATGTCAAATTCAAGTCCATTATCACTGCGTATGGTCTTTACTGTGATATGAAACTGATTTTCAATTAAAACAAAAATTCTGTAAATGCCCGCGAGTTTCATGTTTAGCTCGCATGAGTTTAATCCAAGTAAACCTAGAATAGTCATCTACTATTGTAAGAAAATAGCGGAAGCCATGTATACTGGGAGTTTTATATGGTCCATAGATGTCTAATGAATAAGCTCAAAAGCATAAATGGATTTTGTGATACTAGAAACATAAGGCAGTTTCCTTTGTTTGGAAAGATGACATATATCACAAGGAATTACAGAATTTGAAGGAACAAAGGGAAATTTACATGACATGTGTTTCATGGTAGATGGAGAAATGTGTCCTAGACGTAAATGCCAAAAGGCATATTTATTTGAAACATCTGACTCAAGACTATAAGTTGTCTTCAACTTATTCTTGCTGGAACATCAATGACAAACAATCCATCCTCTTCATTAGCTATACCAATCATCTTCCTGGTATTCATCTGGAAAATCAAGCATTTGTAATCAGTGAAGGTTAGGGAGCAAAGGGAAATATGAGAAAGTTTGCTAACAGATATTAAGTTCACTTGAAATTCAGGCACAAACAGTACATTGTAAAGTACAAGATTATCTGTTAGATGAATGGTTCCAGAATATGTGGCATACACTTTAAAGCCATTTGGAAGGGTAATAGGGATAGGCTTAATCTGATTGATGCTATCAAAATGTGAAGAAATATGGGTTATATGATCTGTGGCTCCAGTATCTATAACCCATCGAATATGACCATTACCTGATTGTGGAGAAATCATATTGAAAGAATTAGATGTATTCACATTGAATGTTGCAGAAGGGGTTTTAGCAAGATTGGAGACATGTACTTCATTAGGCTCATTCACTGGATCCTGTTGTTGTCCAAGATTGGATTGTATCATATCCAAGATTCTCTGGTATTGAGTCTAAGAGAATACATCAGCATCAGATTTCACTTGCTGTTGTGAATCTTCAAATTCTCCCACTTCTTGAAATGCAAGATTAGCAGCTCACATTGGAAATCTCTGCTTAAAACCTTGTGGATAACCGTGCTTCTCAAAGCAAGTTTCAACAGTGTGGTTGGTCCTACCACAGTAAGTGCACAGCCTGTTGCCACGTCTTCTTCCACCATTATTTCGACCTCGGCCACGAAAGGAACTGTTATTTCCACCACGAGCATTGAAACCACCAGCAATGGAACCACTGTTAAAAACTCTTTGAACTGCTGCATTTGTAAGGACTTTTGGCTCTTCATTAACATCTAGCTGTGATTCAGAATTCAATTGTCTTTCTTACTGACTCACTAATGAAAATATTTCATTAACAGATGGTAGAGGTCGCATAAGCATGATTTGTGAATGAACATTTGAAAACTGATCATTCAGTCCTGTAAGGAATCTTATTGCTCGATCATTTTCTCTCCCTTCCCATACACGAGTGGATATTCCACAATTACAAGGAATAGCAGAAGTGCAGGTAGGAAGAGGTTGCAGAGTTTCAAATTCGTCCCAAAGACCTTTGATATGAGTGTAGAAGTCTGACACTGTTCTTTCACCTTGGTGTATTCGATAGATCTCTTCTTGAAAATCTGAAATACGAAAAACATCAGCTTGCGAAAATCTTTGATGCAGATCATTCCAAACTTCTACAACATTTTCAATCCATAGAACTGACTGCAGAATTGTGTCACTTATCGAACGATGGATCCAAGAAAGGATCATCACATTACACCTTTGCCATGCATCATACATATCATCAGTAGGATCAAGAACGTTGATTGTGCCATCTAAAAAACAGAATTTATTCTTCGAACGCAGCGCCATCTTTAATGCCCGAGACCAAGAATGATAATTCTTTCCATTGAGTTGAGTTGAAACAAGATTCAACGTTGGATTTTCACTCGGATGTAAAAAGTATGGATTCGCTGGGTTTGTAAAGTAATCTGGAAGAGGATTAACGTTTGCCATTTCTATAACGGAGAAATCAGCAAGAAATTGTAGGAAAGAAAAGGGAATGAACCAGATGAATACCAGAGCTCACATGAGCTCTGATACCATATTATGAATGAAGAAACTCATTGTATTGATTGATCAAAAAAAGTAAGTACAAACTACTAAGGCTACTGCTATATATATATATATATATATATATATATATATATATATATATATATATATATATATATATATATATATATATATATATATATATACGAAAATTTAACTAAGAAGCTAACAAACTAGTTAACTTACAGTAACAGAAATACAACTGTACATAACTGACCAACTAATTATAACTGACTAACTGACTTGACTTATGTGTTAATATAAGGATCCCCGACTTAAGAGAGTAGAAATGAAAGTTAATTATACGCGGTCTTAGTTTTGCATTTCCATATTTATTAGACAACGTGTTTCTCACAAGTCAATGGTTTTCCTATGTTAGGCTAATCTCCACCAATCAGAACGAACTGATTCTTTGTCACCTTTCTTCCAAACTGCTTTAGCTGCATGCATGTCTCTACCATCCCAGTTTACAGCTATCCATTCTCCTATATTATTCTAAATTTTTCAAATCATATACCCTCAATGTTAAAAGAATTCGTTATATTTGTCAATGTACAACTGGAAATCCATAATGGCATAGTAGCCATTGCCTTATAAAGAAGGATTCAGAATTGATACAAACAAATTACAATGCTTTAGAATGCTTAAAAGTCTACTGTTTTTTATTTACCAAATCGTTTGACACTAGATACTTATCCAACTTGAAACCTGCTATATCGGCCTCCTTGCAGATCTCTTTGCACTTTGCTGTTCTCCCAGAGGCCATGTAAATTTCAAGCATGTTCTTGTATAAGTCAAAAGTGGGAGAAAATCCAGCTTCTTTAAGTTTTGCAAAATATCTCACGGATCTAGATAGATCATTTAAAGCAACAAACAGCTTTATTACCACACGATAAGCTGGAAGGTCAAAGAGACAATTTGAAGCCTCCATTTCCCAAACTACAGCCAATGCTTCCTTGTATTTCTTCTCTGTGTAACGGCTGTAAATCACAGAAGTGAACATAACTATACTTGGTTGACGGCCAGACTGTCTGAACCAACTAAACAGATTCTCAACTACTTCAAATTTGCCCATCTTAGTGCAGACTTTCATTATTGCAGTACAACTTTGCTGGCTTAAATTCAATTCATCTCGTTCTCCAAGTTCATCTAATAAGGGCACCACATGCTTGTGTCTATCAGGGTTCTTTCCAAGTTCAAGTATTAGTTTTGCATAAATGCTGGGATCCAACATTCTTTTATCCCTTCTGGCAACTACTAGAACCTTCCATGCAAGTCTAAAGTTTCCTCCTTTTATAAAACCCCTAATCATTACCTCCAACAAACCTCGACTAGCAGATCCGGCCAACTTCTCTACATTGAATGGAACTTTTAAATCATGGTTCCTGGCCAAGACCTCAACGGTTGATGTCAGAATCCAATCATCTGGGAAGAGATGGGGTTGGTGTTTGGCCCAACAGAATGTTTGTAGAGCTCTCTCAGGATATCCCATATGGCCTAATTCCCTTATTGTCAATGATAAGGACCCCTTCCTCAGGAACTGCACCCACTTTCCAAGAATTGTAGATACATCTTCATCTGGATTAAGTTTACTGATCTCTCTTGCTAACCCAACAAGGAAACTTGGGCTTTTATACACTTTCTTAGCCATAGACGCACGGGAAGAAACCACAGCTGGAGCTGTCAATTTTACTAGTCTTTTTGGTGTAGGTAGTCCCAATGGTCGAAGCCGGTAGGGAGCTGGAAGAGGAAGAGGCCTTTCGCGATTTAACTTTTCAGGTTTTTGTGGGATTCTACCTTCAAAAAGCGATGAAATAGCTTCTATCTCATCCGATTCCCAAACAACATTAGTATTTTCTAACTCCTCTTCATAGTCTATATGTGGTCCATTATTGAAATCCATATCTTCCTGAGTTGGTTCAGAGATGGTGCTAGGCTTCTTCAAAAACAGATTAACACCAAACTCAGGAGGTAGCTTGGCACGCCTTGGATATCGAAGGTTCTTTGGTGGATTTCTTCTCCTATTTGAATGTGCTGCTAAAGTGATTCTTTCATGTCTGGACCAAGTTCTTCCCAATGGAATAAAATGCACACTAGGGAATGACACTGTTCTGTCCATTATTCAGAAATAAGAATTAGAAACGTAGAGGTTGCATTGTCATTGAGAACCTGCAGAGAAAATAATACACGTATATATTAATGACCAAGTAGGACTTTCATCAAACAAATGGTCTGCATATTTCAATACTTTGGAACCAACGGATTTTGTCACCCTCTTATTGGAAAGATTGCAATTTGCAAAACTGGGGTAACAAAACACAATTGCATGAGCACAGAAACGGTAAATATTTCATTTGGGTCAGGTTCATAACATCAATCTTTTAGAACCTAACTCTGCTGTCAGCCAGTCATTAAACAGTAGCACTTTATTCATTTTTATTCTCTCCCAAAAAGTTTTTTTTTTTTTTTTTTTTCGTTCTCGAAATGCCACTGATCAATAAATAATTAATTGGGTCATTATTGTAAATCACTAAATTTATAGAGATCTGAGTATCAGCAAAATTAGTGATTGAAAAATATACCAGAAGACAACGAAATAGGGGAAGAGGGTGAGTCTACCTGAACAGAGTGGCTTTTGAAAGAGAGAAGTCAAGGGATACTAGGGTCTTCGTTTCCCCCACTCAGGCATGACCCAGAGAAAGTTGCGATTTGCTCCTATCCTATGCCGCCAAGCTAGGAAGGGTCTTTTTATTTTGTTTAAAAAATAAAGAACAACTTATTTAAAAAAAAAAAAACACTTCAATTCGAGAGTTAGATAGGTAGAGGTGAGAGTAGACAGGAGTGAAAGCATATGTTCGAATCTTTCCACAATAAATTGATTGAAATATTTAAAAAAAAAAAAAAACACTTTTTGATTAATTGTTTAAAATAATACAAATATTGGACAAAAAGTTATTACAAAGACGCCACAAATTTTTAAAATTATGATACAAAAAATATAATGAAAATATAGGATGAAAAATGAGAATAAAAATCCATTTAACAAGTGATGCAGCAAGAAGGGGTGTAAACAGCAAGAAAGGTAATGACTCCCATTATATATCACTTAACTTTAGTTAATGTACTCGTAGTGGTACATAGATGTCTTCCGTAAGGGTGAAGTATGTTGATATAGGGGGTGTCCGTAGTGGCAATGGTAGAGACCAAGCACTAGTGGAGCTTCCCATGGTGCATAAAGGGGGGAGGGGGGGGGGGGTGTGTGTGGAAATGGCTAAGGTGGCTCTCCATAGTCACAGCCGTAGAGGCTCAGTGGAGAAGAAGGGGTCCTTCCCTTAATGTGAGAGGTGGGTATTTAGAGCAAGAGCCCTAGCCAACCTAGCCTGAAACCCCTGCCCTTGTGCAGGGGCAGCTGGTGTGCATGGGAAAGAGGGGGCATCCTATGATGCCTTCTAGAAGATGGGCTTTGAGAGGTTGGGCCCATCTGGTAGGCCTCATGTAAGTTGTATCCAGAACAGTTAGTAATAGTCACAATTAGGTATTACGTTAATAAATAAGTTATTAGTTTGAAAGTAATTTTTAAATATTTTTAAAATTAAAATCATGTAATTAATTTTTCTCAAATAAAAGTATTAAAAAATTTAACAATTTTTGTGACCTGTTATTAATTATAACTTTTTTTTTAATATAACTTCATACAAATTATCCAACTCCCTCGCCATTAATTTACGCCTCGTGGCAATGCTTTATAACCCACTAGTTTAATATCCAAATTGCTCTTATTATGCTTTCAACAAGTATGCAATTTAGCGTATTCTAGTATCATCTAATTCCTATACAACTTATGTTGAAAGGAGCAAGAAAGAGCATTTATTGCTTAAATATAGAAATACACAAGAAACAACGTAATTATGAAAAAGTTTCTTTAAATCAGTGGATGTTCCAAATATATAATAAACAAACAGAACATTTTAAAAATCCCGTCTACACCAACAGGGACGTGAGAAGCTTTCACCGGCATCAGGGAAAGATCCGATTGAAAATTGTAAGTTTCTGATAATAAAATATGGTTTAGAAGAAAGATAATTCCATAATAGGGTGCCAACAGGCCACTTTAAATCTAAAGATAATTTTATTTACAAATAATGATTTCCATAAATTTTCCATATTGAGGGTCTCCCAAGAGGTACAACAAGTGAAAATACATCTTCATTATTATGAGAGCGTTTTACGTACAACGATGATATTAAAAATTTGGTGCGACAGTGTATTTTATATTAAGTGTGACTAATAAGACTTAGTGTAAAATACAAAAGTAACTTCTTTATTCTCTTTCTCTAAAAAAAAGTTGATGATGACACAATATCATTGGTTTGTCTTAGGTACAATGGTGGTATTATAGATTTTTCCCATTATCAGGTAAACGTATATATGTTGTATACATCACAATATATATAACTACTACCAAACTTGGACAGTGGTAACTTGGATGATATTGTGCTATATATGCCTCAACTATAACATCAATTTAATATCGTAAATAAAATACTAAACATGCTGCTTCCTCATTCTTCAATATGCTTTAATTAATGGATTTTATTAATCTCATGTTAAAGGAGATAAGTTATCTCATGTCATAGAGATAAATTTGTGGCTCCACCACCTGAAAAATAAAAAGAAAAGAAAAGGAAAATGTGGCACAGTTATCAAAGAGTGTGTAGGAGAGAAAATTATCACATGTAACATAAGATTAGTTTTTCTCATAATTAATATATCTATGGCAGTAATCATTCCATTGCATTTTATGCAGAACCTCAAATGCCTCAAGTTAAAAAATGAAGGAACAATCTTCTTAAGCAACACGTACAACGAGACTACCACTTCTAGAACTGCAGCTCAAAGCCTGTACCACTTCTATATAGTTGACCTCACTGCTCTTTTGGCAGTAAAATCAATCCGGATTACTGAGACAAATTAATGTCTTACCCTGCTTTGTGAATTTAATCTTGCAATTTTTTGTATTGAGCTTTAGAATTTTCGATTGCAATATTTTAGTAAAGGAGAATTTTCTTTCTCATTTCTAAGATGATACCGGTGAATTTTAACACATGCACAATTAAAATACTCACCCAAATGCATATTATGCATGGCACGTACGGTTTATAACATAAAATTATCTCTGTTATCTTTTTTTAAGTTTTTTCGGTCAAAACATTGGGATAAATTTTAAAGATCGACAATGAGTTTGTGTGAAGTGTGAACCATTGGATGGAAGGTTTAAAAGACTAAATCAAACAGGCACTAAAATTTGAAGAGTACCATCACACTAATTAATGGAGTGGATTATGTATGGCACGACATGAAAAAAAAAAAAAAAAAAAAAATTGTGCAAACAAAGAGAGATAGATATTAATGTTGACATTTGTTATACCTATCTCGAAACATTTTTCATTCAGCTAAAAATCGAAGAAGAGTGATGTACAAATCCAAAAATGTGTTAACTGAAATAATGGCCAGAAAAATATGCCATCTTATTAGCATATAATCGTACATCAATTTGTTGTGTATAAACACGAATTCTGGCAACAAAAAAAAGAAAGAAAGAAAATCGAATGGAAACTTTTTATATTAATATATATTTTCCTGTCCATTTTCTAACCCTAGCAGGCATGGCAATATTGGTTTGAGAAATCACCATCCATACTTATTAAGCAGTCTGCATCTGAAAGTGATTTAAAAAAATGGCATGTTGTCTATTGAAAACTTGCTCTGGACACGCTTTTGAGGAAGCTACTGCTTTTACTGATTTCTCTGAGTGGTTTGTCAGTAAATCTTATCAGATTGTAGGCTGAAGCACCTAATATGGCGCCAAGAAAGGGTCCAACTATATAAATCCAGAATCCATCGTAAACGTGCATCACCAAAGCTGGTCCAAGGCTTCTGGCTGGGTTCATAGACGCTCCTGACACAGGCCTGCATACCATTTAATTAATTAAAATGTTATCATCGACTTATTGTAAACAAATGTATAAATATATATATATACATCGCTGGGATAGGTTATTCTATATTAAGAATAATAATTTTACACTAAATTTTAACTATTATTTAATGACTCTAATTTAAGCGATTAATACAAGTAAAATCAACAACTAATTAAAAATTATCGTGTAACTTATATTAGTATAAAATATTATAGGGATTTGCATTTATTATTTCACATAACACAAGAAAGTTTTCTACACACATAATATTTTGTGGGATCCACACTTTTTGAAACAAAAAAAAAAAAAAAACTACGGCACGCAAAACAAATCTCTATAACATTACACAATCACTTTTTCTACAACATAGCTCTTATAAAACCCAATATTATATGGGAAAAAGAATTCTTATGTTGTAGGAGAGTTCTCTTCTCATGTTAGTGAGAGTTCGTTTTACGTGCAATAATTTTTTTTATTTTCTTTATTTTTTATGTGTGGGCCCCACCATAAATTTGAGTGTGTAGGAGATTTCCTCCTCTCCAATAGCATGAGAAAAGTATTGCCCATATTATATATACTATAGATAGATAGATAACAGTATAATTTAGTGTTAAATTACCCGGCAATGAAGACATCTATTAAGACAGTCATACCAACAGCAATCCCTGCCAATTCTCCAATCTGTTTTGAAAAAGAACAAAGAAAAAAAAGAATTTGAGCTATTTCATATGCGAAAGGCCAAATGATGAATTATTTGGAATATCTAAATAGCATGAGATTTTGATAAATGGGAAATATTTCAAAAGGTAAATGTTAGAAAAGAAATATCATGTGTGAAGATTTCTATAAATCGAGATTCGTCCTATAATCATCCACCATTTAGCATTCTTCAACTTATAAATACTAATAGCTTCAAATGAGGATAACTACTAACATGGGTGTTCAAACCAAAAGAAATGCAAGAAAAAAAAGTAATATAAAGTAAACTAAGTATACTAACTGCTCGATTGTCCGTGGAAACTGCAGAGACAACAAACATCAAGAGAAACGATGTGAGGATCTCGAAGACAAGAGATTGAACATGAGATCCTGATGGTACCGTTCCAAAATAAGAATTTTCATCTAGATCAAACAGAAGGCGCAATGTCCCACTACCAAGGATAGATCCTAGCGCCTGCGCAATAAGATACATAGGCACCTGCAGCAATAATGCATATAGCTTCAGCTTAAACCAAATGCTTCTAGCACTGAAAATCACAGATATTATTTTATCTCAAGTCAAGCCTCTTGGAGGAGGGGTAAAGTGGCTTTTGTGACGAGAAAATCTAAATATGTTCATTTTTACTTTCACAAGTTGGGAATGTTGTGCACGGAGATTCACCTTTTGGTGTATCAAATTCACAGCTCAAGTACAAAAACAATAGTACTATTGACTTTCTATCTAATTACAAGGGTTTAAAGTTGTTGATTAATAGAAGATAAAATTATTTCTCATACATATAAGAACATGTGGTCACACATGAGTTCACGTACTTTTAAATATATGTAAAGGATAATTTTATCTCTTATAACATAAGAAACTTTAAGTCCCTAATTAAAATTTAAAAAATATTGACCCCACAATGAAAGAATAGTCTAAAATCGAACAAGCAGATCAATTTTGTAATCTATAACATGCCTGTTTGAGAGGGAAATGACGATAGATGGCGAAGCTGACAGTGACTGCAGGATTGAAATGAGCACCGGAGATGTGACCAAGAGCATAAACCAAAATCATCACTGATAGACCCCACACAATACAAATTCCAGGGAACGTTATTGTCCCTTTACTCTCTTCAATTTTATTCAAAACCACAGAGCAACACCCTGCAAATACTAGGAAGTATGTCCCTATTAACTCTGCAATTACCTGTTTCACACAGAGATTTGATTCATCCTTAGTAACAACGAAATTCAATTCACTCTTCGCAACACAACAAAACAAACTAAGTGAAAATTACATATTATTAGTGTGACAGTTAATATTTGAAACTAAGCATGTAGAGAATGCGGACACTAAATAATATATATATGTACGTACCTTCTGTATGACTTGAGTTACCTCAGCAGAACCGCAAAACCCAGAATCAGAATCCATTTGCGGTTTGAGTCCACCTTCTTCCATTTTTGTGATCTCGCTTGTAGACATGTTCACCTAAATTATATTAAACTTTTCGTTTCTTTGATTCCTGGCTTTCCTTTCCTTTGACTTGAGTTTCTCAGTAGTAATTTTTAAATTATATCAAAATAGACTTATTAATAGGAAACAAAAGGGGAAATTGGTGGTTTAGCTATTTTCAGGAGCAACCATTGGAGGCAAAAGCGTTTACACTCGCCACCATGCTTTTAACGGAAACAACTGCCACAATTTATTCATTCAATACTGTTCACATGCCAATATAGCTAAATATATATAGATCATCAACCGTTGAGTGTACCGTGTGTAGTGCACCCAAAAACACACCATTTAATTTCTTGTCTTAATTAATATTGGATTGTAAATACTAAAGAGAATCGTGCTTCTTTAATTTTATATATATATATATATATATATATATATATATATATATATATATATATATATGAGGCAGGATATTCTTACACCAGTGTAACAGTTAGAAGTCTTACCCTCAATCTTGAGTATTGATCCACTTGTATCCAATGGCTCACATTACTAAAAAATTAAAGCCCTTAGATATAAGTGGGATCAATGGTCAAGATTAAGAGTGTAACTTTACACTGGTGTTATAAAATGATCCTGACCCTATATATATATATATGGGGTTTACATTTCTGTAGGTGCTGTACTTGCAGCAATCAAATACTTGACATATATATATATATATGAAAGCATTAAATGCGGGAAATTATATCCATACAAAGAATGAAAACATTAAATATCATAAATTGTTAGTTAATGCGGGGTTTACATCTATCGTTGCTATACTTAAAGCGGATGCAAAAATAATTTTATATATATATATATATATATATATATATATTAGTTAACTTGGGCCACTAAATTACGTCTCAATTATTACAAAATATATATTGTTAGTTAATAGAAACTATCAGGGGACAAAAGAGTAAAAACATATCTGTCATAAATTTCAAATATTTCATAGACTTAGCCCAGGATGTAACTGGGGACAAAGATTTATGGAAGGATAGTATTAGCTATGTAGCATCGATACTGACACGGGACACGATATGACACGACACTCCGACACGTTAATTCTAAAAAATGTTATATTTCGACACGTTGGGACACATTTTAATATTAAATAATATTTTTAATTTATGTAGTGTATATTATATTTAATATTTAATAATTTAACAAAAAAATAAAACTAAACTTATAATATTCATCAATTTTACAAACAAACATAAGATATCCCAAATATTTATATTAAACTCAATAAAATGGTAATCATAATCCAACGAATATAATAGTTGGAACTAAAAACTCAACACAACGCAATCTTTGAACCTTTTTTTGGATTTCTATAACCCGTGTTGGAGTGTCGGAGTGTCAGAGAGTGTCGGACACGACACGTCAGGGTTTTTGAAATGTCGGTGCTTCATAGAGTATTGGTACGCACTAGACATAGGCATATTAGGCAGTTAGACATATATAGCGATTGAAAGAGCCGTGTGTGAAAGCCTACGGATAACTAATTTTACAGTAGAGTACTGCATACGTAAAGACTTGTGATTTTATTAAAAAAAAAAAAAAAAAGACTTGTGATTTGTGATTGTATCACTACACTTTTTTACTATATTTTGAAAAAGAAATATTATATTTACAAATTTTTTATTTAGAAACTTGTTTATGTATTTTGGAAAGTACAAAAATAGATGAATGTATTTTCTGGAGTACATAGACAAGTTTGTATATAAAAAATTTATAAATATAACCTAACTATTTTAAAAAGTCATGACAGTGAATTCTTTCTTTCAATTTTTTTTCCGTTTAGATAACTCAAGTAATAAGCAAGCTTTTCATTTAATAAACTTTTCATTTGCAGAAAGCAAAGGTAATACAGTCCCTCACTCCCTCAGAATATGCACAGGTTAAGTAGTTTATAATTAGGTAGAATCTAAAATTTTATAGGGAAGGATCCATTTATAATTTTTTTTTACAAATTATACTAAGTATGATCGGTCATACACTCTTGATCGAAGTATAACCGGTCATACTTAGTGTAGTTTGTAAGAGTTTGTAAACAAAAAGTTTGTAAATATAACATTCCCCAAATTTATTGTTTCAAACTCTAATGTATGTATAATCTTATTTTTGAGGCCGACCAAAATGTTCCATTTCAATTTTGGTGCGGCCAGCGTGATGTGAACTATTTGTCTGAGTCATGCAAAGAGGCTTCATGAGTGAGAAATTTCTAGCATGTTTGTTTTAGCTACTTCTCAGCGTCACTAGTTGTTGAAGGAAATGGAAATAAATAAATAAATAAATAAATTTTACTGAACATGCCAAGGCATTCAAGCTGTAAGGTAAAACAAGTGAATCTTGTGGGGTCGTTGATTTCTTGATTAAGTCCTACATTGCTGAAAATATAGAACTCAAGCATTAGTCTTACGTATAAATCATCTTTTATGTTCTATTTAGGGTTGGCCCATTACATATGGTCTAAGTAAATGTTAGGTTGTTTCAAGAAATTCAGAGTTAAAAGCGTGAATCTTATGCGCTTAACCTTTTTCTCTAAGAGGGTTTTCCGTTGGCTATGGGAGAAACAAGATCAACATCAACTGAAGAAGAAGATAATCTAAATCGGAGTATCAAGAAGCCAAAAGGATTGGAAATTCAAGATGATTTAATGGAAGAGCACATGCAGGGAGGAGATCCAAGCACTCCGGGACCGCATGTCGGGGGAAAAGAAGCTTTGGCAAGCAAACCGCAGACCCCTAGGAAGCAAACTGATGGTGAAGCTAATCCATCTTCTGGTGGCTCCTCAGGGAAAAGCAGTGGTCAGGGGCGTAAGGTTGTCTCATATAAGGATAAGTTGTTGCGACTTAATGGAGCTGAAGAAATGTCTGATAGCGAAGATGAAGAATGGAAAGAAGGGAAGAAGAAGAGGATGATATGCTTGAAGAAGAATCTGAAGACGTTATAGAGGAACCTTTGTGTCCTTCTTACAAGTTTTCGAAAAGTCAGCACAAAGAGGATTGCAAGCAATAAAGGAAAGCGCTTATTATTAAATTGCTGGGGAAGAGAATGGGCGCTAGGTTCTTGATGGCTAGATTGGTGAAAATGTAGAATTAAATGGGTATCTATGAGGTTATTGATATGGACAATGGATATTTGGTAATCAGATTTTAGGATGACAGTGAGTATAACCATGTGCTCCTTGAAGGACGTGGATAGTTGCAGATCATTACTTGACAGTGCAGAAGTGGAGACCGTTTTTTGATCCATATGATGAACAGTTGAACAGGCTGGCTGTTTGGATCAGAATTCCAGGATTGCCACTAGAGTTTTATACTACCCATAATCTTGGAAAAATTGGTAGTATCTTTGGAAGGACACTTAAGATAGACAAGAATTCTATGAGAATAAATGAAGTTGGTGATGGGAATATGACAGAGAGAGCCATATTTGCTCGCATTTGTGTTGAAGTGGATCTCAGGAAGAGTTTCCTTTCGAAATTTAAAATTGGGGGGGAGAGTCCTGTATGGGGCAATGAAGGATTGCATATGATATGTTTTGCCTGTGGCATGTATGGACGTAGAAAGGATTCTTGTCCTAGTACTGAGGTTCATAAGCACAACTCTGGAATTGGAGTTCCTAGCAAGGGGAATTAGGATGTGAATGAGAAGGAGAAAGGTGAAGAGTAGCAGAAGGGAGAAGAAGTTTTTGGCACTTAGATGGTAGTTCAGAAACCAGGCAGAGGGCGTAAGATGAGAGCTTCCCCAGTTAAGCAAGCCACTAATAATGACACACCTTTGAAACCTGAAGAATAACCTGTTAATGTTGTTGATAATGTTAATGTAGGAGAGATTATGAATACAGATAGTCCTATGGAGGAAGTAGATCCTGATGTAGCTACAAAGCCAAGTGACAAGAAGGAAGGGATGCTGAGTAAGACTGATGGTGGAGGTGTTAATGAGAGGAAGGTTAGGGGATCTTTCCCAAGTAATCAAAACTCAGGGCCTGAGAAACAAAAGAAAGGTGGAATGAAGACTGGCTCAGCTAAAGGATTAGTAATGGGACCTATCGGGATGCAAAAAGGCAAATCCACCACCAAAGAGGCTGCGAATAGAAATCAATCCTCAGAGAATCAATCTCCCAATTCCTTGAATGTGGGACTTCAGAAGTTGATTAATAGAAGTAAAGGACCAGAAGTCATGATCCTAATAATCTGGGTATCATGCTCAGAACGAGATGGAACTTGATCAGGTTAATCCAGCCCTGTGAGGGGCTAGAAGTCATACTAGTTCTTGATGAATCAATTCCTTGTGGTTAAGGTACACTACTCTTATTTAGTTATGCTTATGAATCTTTGTTCTTGAAATTGTAGAGGGGTGGGCAAGAAAGAATTCCCTACTCTGATTAGAGATATTAAATATAGGTTTAAAATAAAAGTGATGGCCTTGCTGAAAACCAGAGTTCGGGGTGATAGGGGAGAAACTATAATCAGGAAGCTTGGTTTTTCCAAGTTTTTTAAACAAGAGGCTGTTGGCTTCTCTGGAGGCATTTGGATTCTGTGGGATGACAGAGATGTAGAGGTGGAGATTATCCAATCTCATTACCAATATGTCTACACCAGAATTCCTTATTTAGAAGATAAAAAGGTGGAGTTAGTTACTTTTGTGTATGGGAGCCCGAGTAGGTCTGAGAGAATAAGCCTTTGGGATGATTTGGAGGAACTTTCTGAGTCTGTGAACTCCCCTTGGATTTTGCTTGGAGACTTTAATTTTGTTTTGAGACAATCTGAGAAGGTTCGAGGTATGGATGTTTGTTGGAGAAGTATCCAGGAGATGCAGGATTGCCTTGAGGTTTGTGGTGTTTCTGATATTGGTTTTAAGTGTCCTAGCTTCACCTGGAAGAGTGAAAGATTACAAGAAAGGATTGATAGAGCTTGTGCTAATGAGGAATGGAATATGGCTTGGCCTAACAGAGTGTTAGCCCATTTG